CAGATAAGGAAGAATATGCCCTGATACACTCGGATAATGATTTAGTCAAGGTCTTCCATCAACTAAACGAAGCAGGATACAAACCGCATATCAACTATCAAGCGGGGAGGATTGCTAATATCTTATGTAAGTTTTATTACAAAAAGCTGAAGAAATACATTAAATACAACATTGTCTCACAGTGTTTATCACAAGAACGAGTTGATGAAGATGTAATAACTGATAATGAAGAAGTGTATAACAAAATCACTACAACTATGTTTAACTTACAAAAGGAGTTGTTTAAGGAAAATCGTTTATCCTATTATAACGAGGTAGATATACAAATCCTTAAAAAGAGTAAAACCATAGTTCCATCTGGCAAGTTTTGCAAAGATACGCCGATGAAGAAGATAAAAGAAATAGATATTAACAAAGCATTTACACACGCGGGAGGGAGTATAAAATACATCCCGAAATTCACACAGTTTGACATATTTGGACCCTTTGGCGAAGACTGTAGCACAGACCAGTTTAACAACCTGACATTATACATTGTAGAGGTGTATGAAGGGAACATCTTTTTCAACAAGAAGTATTGCTTAGTTTATGGCAAGTTTTTGAAGAAACTGCTGAAACACAATGTTAAACTGAAAATATTATGGTATAAGCAACCGAGCAATATTTACAAGGTGGATTACAAAAAGTTGATAGATGAATTGTATGCAACAAAAATAACAGACGACGAAGACTTCAACAAGCAGACGCAAAAGAAACTGTGGAACATCAGCGTCGGAATGTTGGAGAAATCCCATAACACAAGTCAGCGAAGTAGCACTTTTACTTCATTGAAGGAGACGTGTTATTATCAAAGCATTTACGGTGGAAAGGTCTATGCAATACGCGAGTGTCAGACAGAACTTAACGAAGTGGATGAAGACGAGTTTGAAACAAAGGAGACGGAAGGAACTAAATATTATGTGTTAAGTGTGTCAGAGAAGAAGACTTTAATAAATGGTTTTATGTATATCAAGGAGTTGTTATTGCAATATCATAATTTTAATGTATGAAGCATACAAGACATTATCCGATAACAACATTAAGGTGTATAGTGTTAAAACAGATTGCTTGACGATACACGAAGACGATGTGGATAAGGTGTATGGATACAATTTTTGTCGTGTGTGGAGAGAAGGACTGCTTAAATTTGGAACTGACATCGGCACTTGGAGACTGGAAGAGAAGAAAACAATTACACTGCCTACGCAGTTATACACATACAAGTTTAACGAAGTGCCGGAAATCCCGAAAATCAGTAATGTCAAAGTTGAAGTTGAGGACGAATGGGATACTAAAGCAACCTGCGAGAAAATTATGTTAAGAACCCCGGTCATAATTCGTGGCAAGTTCCCGGGCACGGGCAAGAGTTATATAGGCGAGCATTTCCAAAAAATGGGTAAGAATGTTTTTTTTGTTTGTAGTGCCAACCAATAGACTTTTACAAGAAAAGGAAGTAGAGGCGACAACACATAACAAGTTTTTCAGCATCGCTGTTCATGAAGATGTCGGGGAGAAGTTGCCAGCTGTTGATTATTCCCCTTTCAATGTGGTGGTGTTTGACGAAGTTTATATGTCCAACTTATATGTATTGGATAAGGTCAGACGGTTCATTCAAGAAAATCCTGATATTATCGTTATTGGGACTGGCGATGTAAAACAATTGCAGGGAGTGGAAGTTATGACCAACTGCCAGAACCCAGCAGTTTATATAGACAACTGCATAGATATAGTATTTAAATACCATATATTCTTACAAGTGTGTAAGAGAGTAGGAACGAAGGACAGCGAAGAAGGAGACAGAAACACGGAAATCATTAACAATATGTATAACGACTTTTGGAAAAACAAGTTGCCTATTCAAGACATTATACCGTAATATTTTGAGACGACTGACGACATAATGGCATCGGAGCATAACATCGCCTACACTAACATAAGATGCCGAAATGTAGCAAACGAAATTAGATGCAGGTTAAACGAGAAAAGTAAATACGAAGTGGGCGAAATACTCATTGCCAGAAAATGGATTAAACAACCAAGGGTAAATGTAAATCTACGGTATAGAATTACGAGCATAGAGCAAGATGAACTCGGAGCACAAATAACACTACAGAACATAGCGAACGATGAAGATGAGTTTATGCTGTTTGAAGCGGTCGTTGATAATAACTTTATATACTCATACTGTGCCACCTGTCATTCAAGCCGAGTGTAAAGGGGAGTATAACTATACACGAATACAACTTACCAATACTGGAGCAAGCAGGGAGTGGGTTTGGACGAGTATTACACGCTGTGTTGATTTTAGAAAAGTCAGGTTCTACAACAACGCAAGTTTTGATAAACAAATGGATAAAAACATGATAACGAGATACTTTAAAAACAAGGTGGAAAATTACAAACTACAAGACAGGAAAGCAAGGAGAGAGATAAACGAGGAGGAATACATAACCCCCGAATGGTGTTTGAAAATGTTTAAAAGCAGGTGCGAGAAATGCAACACATCATTCAATTTTGAAACAAAGCAAGGCAAGTTATGTAGCAACTTTACAGCACAGCGACTATGTAATGATTACGGACATCATTTAGACAATTGTTGTGCCTATTGCCTGTGGTGTAATGTAAGCTCACATTAAAAAGGGTTTAAATGTTTAGGTAAATAGAGGTATGAATAGGTATGAAAAGGGGAAAATCTATAAAGTGGTTGATTTAGATTTTAACAAATGTTATATCGGCTCAACAACTGAACCTCTAAGCAAAAGAATGGAGCGACACAGGCGCTTATACCAACGCTATAAAGAAACTGGCAAAGTTGATACGCGTTGCTGTTCATTGTTTGACGAATACGGCGTTGAGAACTGTAAGATTTTGCTTTTGGAGGATTACCCATCTAAATCGAAGGAGGACTTACTACGAAGAGAAGGAGAATACATAAAGAATAATAAGTGTCTAAACACGTGCGTTGCTGGAAGAACAGCAAAGGAGTATAAACAGGAATATAAGGAATACTTCAAAGAAGAAAGACACGAACATTACGAAAACAATAAAGAAGCACATCTTAAAAGAACCAAAGAATATCAGGAACAGCATAAAGAAGAGATTGCTAAGCGAAAACACAAATATTACGAGGCAAACACAGACATTATATCAGACAAGAAAAAGGAATACTACCAAAATAACAAAGAAGCGATAAACCAACACAAAGCAGAATACGCAAAACAGAATACAGAGTTTTTAGCACAACTTAACCAGAAATGGCGTCAAACCCATATAGAACATGTTAAACAAAAGAGCAAAGAATATTACGACACCAACAAACACAAAATTTGCGAACAGAAAAAGGCAACAATTGAGTGCGATTGTGGTTCAGCTGTTAGACGACACGAGATAAAGCGACACGAGCGAACCAAAAAACATTTGTTGTATTTAGAAGGATTAGAGAAAGAAAAATAATATCTTGTTTATTATAATGACTTCTAAAAACAAGATATTATCAGCAGTATCCACTACGACAGAGCAGGTTTTGGGAGTAGAGCTCAAACCTTAAAAGACAGTAGGGAAAAGGACGCCACTATTACGAAAGAAGATGTTGAACAGTTCTTTAAACGCAACATTGAAGAAAACCGCAAACCGCGTGGCGAGAATAGATTTGTAGCGCCTCACGCCCATTTTGAATATCAGGTGGATTTAATCTTTATGAGTAAAAATGATTTAGAAAACCAAAAATTTAGAACAGGATTAGTTTTAATTGATATTTTTAGTAAATATGCTACAGTTATACCTATTAAGGGTAAAGAACCACCAGATGTACTTGCGGGAATAATGGAAGGACTGCAAAAAATGGCTGATAAACCGAAGATGTTCTACAGTGATGAAGAAGGGAGTTTGTATAGTAAAACCATTATAGAATATTTAGAAGGTGAGAAAATTGAGATACATAGAACGAGAGGACACCCAGCGTTCGCGGAGCGTTTTATAAGAACCTACAAAGATATGTTATTCAAGCGAGTTGAAGCAGATGAAAAAAAGGGTAAGCAAAATATCCAGTGGATAGACTATAATTTGGAGATATTATTAACATATAATAATAAAATGGTTTCATCAACCACAAAAATGACACCGTTAGAAGCAAGGAAAAAGACAAATGAATTTGAAGTTAAATTGAATATATCCTTACAAGCAAAGCGTAATAGAACATACCCCGAAATAGAGGTGGAGATAGTGTTAAAATAATGCGCAAAAAAGGCATTAGTGAAAAAGAACATACTTCGCATTGGGTGAGAACCCCCCAAAAAGTAAAACGAATAGATAAGAAATTAGGGCAAAAATATTATTATTTAGAGAACGATGATAAACGAGGTTATCTGCGCCATGAGTTGCTAAAAGTGTAAAAATGATAGATACAATATATTTGTATCTCATATTTATTGTATGTTTGAGCCGAAATGTCTCTCTCCTCTCATCTTTCTCCTAAACTAAAAAGCTTATCCCGGAAACCAAAAACCCGGATGCTTGCACGTCTGAAGCCATCGCCATGCTTTGACTGCTTTAAACAGTCGGATCTCTCCTTGTACGCACCCAGTTCTGAGATGGCTGTTCGTCTAAACCCTAAACAAGAAACCCTAACCCGAAACTAACAACCCGAAACTAAAACCCTTGACCCGAAACTAACAAACCCGAAACCAAAACCCTTAACCCCAAGCTAACAACCCTAACCCGAAACTAAAAACCCTAACCCGAAACTAAAAACCTTAACCCGAAAAGGGCGCACCAATGTATGGAACTCATTGTAGCGGGTGTCGTTGGCAAGGCTGTCCACCTGTTATGGTATTAAGTGGGGTTTTCTATGATGACTGCGAGGGTTTAGGGAGGCGAGGAGCACCTTGCGACACAAATGGCTTCCAGCTGACCAAGTGACATCCTCTGCTGCAAGGCCTTTTTCTGCAAAGTAGAGAAGCTCTTCACGCCTTCACAGAAATGGAAACGGAATTCAAAATCAGCATCGCAAGACCAGCCAACACAACGAAAAGAGCGATGTCAGTTTTGGTCACGATCTGCTCTTTCAGTCCGGAGACCTTCTGATCGAGGTCAGCCTTGGTCACCATCTGCTCTTTGAGCCCATCGACCTTGTTCCTGAGTCCCTCGACTTTCTCGTCCAGGCTTTGAAGGTTTGTTTTCAAATTCGATAGTTGTGTTGCGTTGTTGTCCCTGATGATGCCAGCGATGAAGGTCCCCATGTTGACGAACATCGTCGTCGCAATCACGCCAAGAAAGCTGTAAATCGTGTTGAGCACGTTTTCTGGCAATGCCAGATCTTGGGCAGTTTGCTGCTGCACCACTTTTGCCGGAAGGGCCATGGCGGCCTGTGTGTTGAGCAGCGAAAGGGCAGGCACTACGTGTCAAAGCCTTTGCGGGGCTGTCGGCTCAGACACGAACAGGCATGCCTGGCTGAACATAAGCAGCTGCGCCAGTGGAAACATCCGTCGAAGCTGCCGTCTGGCCATGTCTCCAGCCATACGCGGAATCAAAGTGTTGCCTTTGGTTCTGCTCTGGAAATTGCCACGCAAGACAGAAATCGCGAATGATGCAGGCATTTCAAGATAGCACAGATTCACTGGCTCGTCAGTCAGTACAAGCAAAGCCCATAGATTGTAGAGACACGAGTGCTTCCAAGATGAAATTGCCATCGTCGCCAATTTTCGCGGATAGGTTGTAATCTTTTGGTGATTTTTCTATTAGGGTCTAACCCCCACGCCTCAGGTTAGGATATGGGTTGTTTTATGGTTGAGGGTAGGGTTTGTTTAGGTGCTTTGGGTTTTGGATTGTGTTATGGATTGTTGTTTGGGGTTGGTAGGTTGCTTTGTTTCGGGATTGTTGTATAGATTGTTGGGAGGTGCTTTGTGTTTTGAGGGATTTAAGGGTTGAAATGTTAGGCGGGTTGAGAAATGGGTTGAAAGTGTAGGGGGGAGTATAGGGCATGAGGTGTGGGGTTAGCTGGTGCTTTCGGTTTTTGTGGGTCAGGATTGTGGCAAGGTGGTGGATGTAGGTAGTGCTTTTGGTTTGGGTTGTATCAGGAAGGTCGGTTTATTAGGTGGTTAGAGAAATGGGGTGAAAGTGTAGGGGGGAGTATAGGATGTGAGGTGTGGGGTTAGCCTATGCTTGCTACTACACCCTCAACCTCTTCAGGCTCAGGGTGCTTTGGACTTAGAACTTAGTGCTGGCCTCTTCTGTTCTGCTGCCTTGCCTTTCTGGGAGGAGGGGCTCTGGGAGTCTCTGGCCCGAGGATGCCGGGGCTTGGGGCCTTTTGGGGTTCAGGCTGCTTTTAGAGTTTACCTTAACCCTGAATAACTTACCTTCTTAAGGACTTATATGAGGAAATCATAAGAAGGAACCCTAAAAAGATAGGCTATTCAGGGTTAAGGTAGGGTTTGGGGTTCGGGGTTTCGGCTGTGGTTTTTTTTTGAAGCTTGGGGCGTGGGGGAGGATTCAAGCTCTTGTCCTTTGGACTCTGAGGTTTATATAACGTCTAACATTCAAGTTGCACGGCTAGAATCGTTGAGCTGCTGTAAGTTTAAAATACTGCAGGACTTCGGTCATGTTTAGGACATGGGGTCTCTGGTGGTGTAGAAGTTCGGGTGCTTCGCTCTACATCTTTTTTGCTGCGCCCAAGAAGAAAAAATGGGTCAGAAAGAAGACCTTTTTGAGAACGTCTCGGGTGAGGGCAGAACTGAAGGGTGGTTGGCACTTCGTGTAAAGACTGCAGGCACGAGAGGTAGAGGTTCCTTGACACCGCTGAATTCGTGAATATGCGCGAGCTCACGTCGGGCTTGCTTCTCTGCGCTTGAATACCTTTTCAACCGTGAACCCGCACAACTTAGAATCCGCCAACACCACAAAACCCCTAGCAACGCCCGGCCGCAAGCCCAAATTTTTGCGGATTCCTCAGACACCAACTCCCCGAAGCGAAGCGCTTCCCTTTGAAGATGAGGCCGATGCACCCGCCTGCGGTCCGAGACTTGCCATGCCTTTCCAAAGACCTGCCAAATTCACTTTTGGAGCTCCGATTGAAGGTTTCGGGTTCTAGCACTGAGGCTTCAGGAATGGCTTTGCAACTCCCGCGTAAGGAACCCTAAACTCTACAACCCTAAACCCTATATAAACCCTAAAACCCGAAAACCCTAAACCCTAAACTCCTAAACCGTTTTAGCTTTGGATTCGAGCTTCAGGCCTCGGATCCCAAAGGTTCGAACCCTGAACCCCCGAGCCCTAAACACCTTAACCCCTGCACCCCAAAGCCCTTCTGGCCCTAAGACAGCCTGACAAGCGCGGCGAAGCCAAACCCACACGTCCTGAACGCTGCAGCCCTAGACTAAAGGTTCTAAGTTCTAGGGCTCTTATACTGTATACCAGCGAGGCCCTGGCCTGGTAGTAAACCCTACAATGCCCTAAACGCCTAGGCTTGGCTTTTGTTGAATGCCGCCATTCTCCAAAACTGCTGTTTAGAATCCCTGTTAGTTGAGCAGGCGGTGTTCGCCCAGCACTCTGGGCTTGGGGTTTCGTGCCCAGGCTGTCGATTACAAGTATTCGTTCGCTCCTGACAACTCGAGGTTCCATAGCCGTAAACATTGAGCTCCACATCGAGAATGGAAGACTAAAAGGCCTCCCAAGCCCTCCCCTTCCGACTTGAATCTAGATCCTGAGCTGCCTTTCCGAACCCCAAAATGGCAGAGTCTTACGTCTTGCCTGCATGGCCCAACATCTGTCAGCCTGTGACAGTGGGAAGTCTTTCTGGGCCCGGCATGGTTTTGAGATCAGACGAGGCGCTTCTGCCAAGGCGTCTTGTAGGGGTTTCGGGATCTAGTTCCGGGGCTTAGGGTGCTTCCGGTCCAGGGCTTGGATGGATACCCCGCAGCATGCAGCTCTTGGCAAGCACATGGCCTCTTCCATCCTGTGCCATGCCGTGATGTCGTAACCTCACCAGGAACTAGAAAAGGTGCCCCCAAAGATAACTTGCAAAGACATCGGCCCCAAAAACACGGGCAAAGGGGTTCGGAGAGCCGCCGGAAAGGCCTATCATGTTGACTTGATGATCTGTGCGTTCTAGTATATAGTCTGACTGTCATCCTTTAAGGTGCTCCCTTTATCACCATCACGACCGTTTTCGCCATCCTGTATAGATTTACCACGGTTACCACGACCTTACTCTCGTTGCCAGGACGCCTCCACTCCGTTCGCCGCTGCAGAGGCTGCATGCCAGCGGAGCTGGGAAGGTGGTGAAGTGCAGGTGCGCCTTCTTTGAACATCTTCGAACTCATCATGCGAGTCATACTGCCAGCGATGGCGATCGCTGCTGACTCACCACGGCGCTAGTCTGTGCTATAGGTCCTATAGGTTGCAGGCATTGAGCTGTAAAACGACCTTCCTTGACAGTGTCGGGCTCAAGGCACCAAACCTCACGACAAGACAAACACCATGATTCACCTGCTGTATCTTTTGCAGTTCGAAGCTTCTCTTCCGGTATCCTCGGACGACGGAGCACGCCCACTGCACCCTGACCTCTTCGAGGACGACAGGTGCAAATCGAGCGGCGGTTTGTTTCAGAGGGGTTAGCCCCCGCAATTCGGCCGACGGTGCGAGAAAGCAACGGTACACACTGGTTGAGCCGCGGGTGCTGTGCGGCCAGATTCCAGACCCATTACCGAAGGAACCTATACACATGCAAGCGATGGAAAGAATTAGTCACAGTCTGTCATGACCTCTTCGAGGCACTAATGGTCATCGGGAACCCCGTTCAAGCCAGCCAATGCCCTCCGCATCCGCATCTCCGCATTCGGGAGCACCTCCACGGACTTCTCACTTCCGGACCAATTACCACCCAGCACGTAGAGGGTGTCGTTCCAGACGGCGGTTGCGGAACTCCCCCTCGGCTGGATCAGTGTGGGGCCCTCGGCCCAGGAGCCCGTGCTTTCGTCGAAAATCTCCGTGGAGCGCCAGGTGTCGGTATTGCTGCAGCCGAGGACGTACAAGCGCCCCGCCACCGCCGCCGCCGCGTGGCCGGTCCTGGCTCGGCTCAGGCTCGGGCCTGGGCTCCAGCTGTTCTTTGCAGGATCGAAGACTTCGAGGCTGGAGAGTTGGGAGTTGTCGCTGCCATAGCCGGCCACAGCGAAGATCTTCCCTGAAACCACCGCCGTCGCCAGGTGCGATCGCCGCTCGCGCATGGGCGGCAGCTCCTCCCAGCGCTCACTGCCGGGGTCGAAGCGCTGCACGTGGGCGAGCCGCTGTGAGCCGTCGCCGTAGCCTCCCAGCACAACGAGCTTGCCCTGGAGCTCTACAGCGGCGTGGCTCCACCTGCACTGCCCGGCATCCGGGCCCAAGCTCCAGCCCCCAGCGCTCTGAGGGCTCCAGCACTCCATGGAACTGAGGGGCTTGCGGCTGATGGCATCGAGCCCTCCCGTCACGTAGATGGTGTTGCCGATGACCGCGGCCGCAGCATACTCTCTCTCGCAGCGGAGCTCGGGCCCTTGGCTCCAAAGATTGCCGGAGATGTCGAGGATCTGCACGCTGTGCCCGGTGTGGATGCCCCCGATGAGGTAGATCTTTCCGTCCAGAGCGGCGGCGGTTGCAACGTATGTAGGATGCTGCAGGGGAGGGCAGACGGCCTCGGAGTCAAGCCCCACTACCCCTGCAAACGAAAGAAAAAGCTAGAGTGCAGTGAATGCCAACAAAAACTTGCGCAATGTGTGCATTCCAAGTCACCGTCTCGAACTCTGCCGGTGCCATCGCCGCCAGCTTCGCAGCCTCATCCTGCCGCTGTTGCTGTTGCAGAAGAACATCCTTCAGAACGGAGGCAACAAAGTTGCACGCAGGCGATTTGGAGCTGTCACCCGAGATCACTTCGCAGGCCACGGGAACGGTCTCTCCCTGCAGCCAGTGTTGCAAAACCTTGGTCCTTGGCTCCAGGGGCTTGTCTGAGGAATCCAGGGATTCCGCGAGCGACGTCCTGGTCTTCACCAGCTTCTCCAGCGCTTCCGCGCACTTCTCCATGTGTTCGAAGACCTGTCGACGCCGGTCCAAGCAGTCCTCCGGCACGGACTTCGTTGCTTCCAAGGCGGGAGAGATCACCTCCTCGGGTGGGCGAAGCGAGAAGCTCCCGTCAAGTCTAGAGACTCTTCCGGCCCTGCAAAACGCAAGAAACGACGAGTCGCACGAGCCCTGGGGCGAGCTGCCAGTGCATCCAAGCATCGTTCTCGAACTGCTTCTCGGAGCCGAAGCCTTGGAAAGCGCCAGCGACGGCACCGAGGCACCTCGTGGCCAGGGTCTCGGAATCGAAGGAGACCTTCACCATGCCCTTCTGGTC